GTAGTAGCGTTGCTGTGGGGGTGCGCGGGGACCGCCGGCATGTTCCGCATCGAGGGCCTGGGACCCAAGATGGACCCAGAGGAGCTGAAGCGGAAGATGCGCCGCGACGTTCTCACCTCTGTCCGTAACTTCCTCATCTACGTCGCGCTGCTTCGGATCAGTAAGTGCTCGGGGCGGCGCGGGCCGCCCAGCCGGACTGGGACCTGCGCTCCCGGAATGGGACGGGTTCGGATCGGCCCGGCCTGGGCGCCTGTTCGCGTCCCGTAGGGGCGTCTTTGCTTCTGGCAGCTTCCTGACGGTCTGTGTGCCCGCGGAGGCTGTGGGGGAGAGCCTCCCTTGCCCGGCGCGGGGCTCTGTGTCCCGGTGGTTGGGCGCACCCCCAGGGGAGCGGGGAGAGTCTCGGCATCCTAGCAGCGTTTCCAAAGCGCCGGCGGGAGCCTGAGACGCCTGAAATGCTAGGCTTGGGCGAACAACAGTGCAACCGTACTCTTCTAGAGCATGAAAGAACAGGGCTATGCTGTCTGTCTTGTAAGCGGTGCTTTAGTGTGTTGCATCAGAGGCTTGCAACTTTCCTTTCAGGATGCCTTTGTGTTTAGCAAACAAAAAACTCAGGGTGATTCTTCCCCACCCGGTGGTGTCAAGAAGAGGCCCGAGGCTCTGACCTGCACAAGCAGGCATACTTGATTCCCCCCCTTGAATCATGCTGCCTCACATGTTAAAGCAATCATGCAGGGAGAGAAAGGACTATGTGGGAGGCAGAGGGTGGTATTTTGCCCAGAATCTGAATATTTTAGATGCCACATAAATATGCTGCAGTTTCATCACAGACTCACTGCACGCTTCTTATTAGCCAAGTTAAGTTCATGCTGCTTTGTTTTGTCTTTTCAGCTCCTTTCATCTTGAAGAAGCTGGACAGTATATGAGCACTTAAGAAGACTCAGTATATGAAAACGTAAAATGGACTGTAGCTGCTTTCCCCTGTTTGTTAATTAAACATTGTGCCAGCGGCTGACAGGGTTCTAAAATGTTTCACTTAAGTATATCTGACCTGAGGATGATAGCCAGTTTGGGAGTATGGGGAAGACATCCGTTGTCCCTGCACGTGAATTCTGGTCACAGAATGCTCCCTAGTATCATCAAGCAACAACTTGTGATGGAACACTTCTTGTACTGTTTAAAAAAAAGTCCATCTCCATTTTGTACGAAGTGTTAAGTGCTAGCAAGTTGCTTTGTAATGCAGCTACCTCTAAACTGCCACATGCTATGGCTATCAACTGTACTGAACCTGTCTATGAAAAACAAAGTCTTTAAGGAATCCAGTTGACAAGCAGGTTGATTTGAAATAAATGGAAGAGCAGTTGTGTCACTTAACTCTGGTAGTGATTTATTTTTAATAATCATTATTTAAACTAGAGGTCATCTGCTGTTATTTCCCTGGCTCTTGTCTTAAACTTGCTATCTTCTCCACCTTTACAATCAACTTGTATTGAGGAAAAGCAAAGGAGAGTGAAAAAGACAAGGCAATGATGTTTTTCAGGTTGCTAAATGTGTAGCAACTCGGCTGTGAAACATGAACATGTAGTCAAGACTCAGAGAAAGAAAAGGGGGAAGGGCAGTTCAGCTGTATCCAGCAGGCCTGTGCCAGTTTCCCCCTTCAGGTAGAACCTCCTGGATCCTGAATTTACGCAAAGTAAAGCAGGAACAACACCATATTTCTTCTGTGAGCTAGTAACTGTATTTTAGTCACAACAGGCTTTTTACAATGCCTGTTACTGCCTCTTGCCAGTACTTGTAGTGTTTTGTCCTATCTTGAACTGAGCTCTTTTTATCCTGACAAATTGCTGTATTCTAGTAGTTCAGGAGAGTTAACTTTACTCAGAGGCTGCCTGCAGTATTCTTACCTTGTACTGCTTATGCTGATTTCAAAATAGGGGCTATTTCCCTAGAGAAGCAGCTTGATTTGTGAAGAGGGTTGTGATTGTCCTCTCTGAAAGGGATCTCATAAGCTCTGGTGGTGATGCTTACTAGTTTGCATTGGTTTAAGATGAACTGAGTTGCCAAAGCAGGAATTGTATTTTCAGCCATTTTGTGTCACTTTTCTGTTTGCCTAAGTCTTAAAAGATATATTTAGGATTTGACTTGATATCCTCATATCAGCTGCATAGCAGATCTCCAGAGAGACTTAAATCTTTCTCAGATTTGTACTTAACTCCTTGACATAATTTTCACCTGGTGTTAGGGGAATGCCTGCAGAGCCACTTGCAGGAAAGGCCCTCCTTGCTCTTTTGTATTGCTCGCTTGCTCAGCTGAAGGAAGACTGCTCCTCCCGTTTACTGTGCCCTTGGCTGAGAGCACAGTACCTGTATGAAGCATGGTGGAATATTTGTTGTGCTTGGCCAAATCTTGCAATCACAAAGTCTTTTATGAAAAGCAAGAGGGAAAAGATTGTTAGGTCAGTTCAGACTGAAGAGGAAGACTTTATTGTTGGCTGGCATCAGAGAAGAGGAATTATGAACAATGGAGAGACTGACTCTTGGGAATTTCCACCTTTCCATTTTGGCCAGAGCTTGAGCTTGCCTGCAGAAAGCTATTCTTGAAGCTTTTCTGAAGGGGGACAGATACACGAGGAGTGGGAACAAACACTGAGGACTATATATAGACTCAGCTTCAGACCTGATGTATTGTAAAAAGCTCCGCTCCTCCCCGAGTACCCATCCCCAAGACAGGCAGGGGTTGAAAATGCAGTTCCTGAATGGCAGGCTTGGAAACTGGGTATTAATTTGGAAGCATAACCAAGTAATTTGGAGACTTCTTACCAGAGCTGACACACGGCCCTGGAGGCATGAATGTCCACTGCAGTCAAACGAATAACCAGGTCCTATTTAATTATCTGGATTTTACTGAGAAGTGAAAGCAAGGATATTCCTGAACTCATTTACTCTGATATCTTTGTAAAATGGAACACGCACAATTGAATAAATTGTGGAATTATATGATCCAGTTGACAAATTAATGCAGCAGGTAACTGTAATGAAGTTATAACATTGATGGTGGGAATAATGAGATACATTAAAGAGTTTGGGTCTGCCTGTGCCAGCTAGAATCCTTAGCAATCCTGTCCTCTGCCCAGCTGCGGAGAATAGGACACTGGTATCCCTTTTGGTCTTGGACCTTTGTGCAGGGTCAGAGGCAAAGCGTTAGAGTTCTCAGGTTGTATAGGGATGTAAAATCATGTATATGGCACCCATTTGTGTTCACTTGGAAGCATGTTTCAAAGCTTAACACAGCTGACCTATCAGCAGCTCTGCGTACCACTAATCCTGAAGAAATGTAGTTGCTCAAGAGTGGGTTTGAACTGGCTGTTGGGAGATCTTAAAAGATTCTCCTAGAAAGTTGCTTTCAGGCACATTGAGAGATGAAGATATCTCCTTATTAAAATAGAAAAAAATAAATGTTTGGGTTTTTTCTTGTGACTCGGTTTCTCTGCAGTCTCTGATATGAGGCAATTGCGTATTTCTCCTCCAAGGAGAGATACGCAGCAGGAGGATGAGAGGGATGTCAGACAGCAGTCTGGCTGATGACTCTCATCTGTTGCCTTCTTCAGAGAAGCAGGACTTCTATGGCCTGTCCTGCTAAAGTACAAGATGTGCTGCTGTGTGGTCTCAGACCCTGGAGAAACAGCTACTCATCTTCCAAGCAGTAGCAGAGTGCCTATGTCAAGTATAGGGTCAGGATAGCAAGATAAGTAGAGCGTACATTCTTGCAAAGCTCAGAGCTCAGGTTATCCTGTAGGTACCATTTTTCAGGTGATGTTCTGACTGTTGGCAGTGGGAGGAAAATACTCTTTTCTCCCCCTCACGTTCTAGGCTCTTAGTAATAGAATTTTCTTTCTGCTGTGTGTCAGAGACCTCCATCATCTGCCTGTGATGCGAGTCCTAGTAGGGTTGGGGACAGTTTAGGCCTGCATCAAAACTCTCAGTGTGGAGTCCTCACCTATTTTGCTACAGTTACTTTGATGCAAGCAAGTTGCAGGCTTACCTTAGGTAAAGGACACAAGACTGAAAACAAAGATCTTCCCAAGTCAACCATATCAACACGACATTTCCATGCACTCATGCTCCTCAGAGCAGCTATTTCAATGTCTTGGCATTTTCTAAAACAACTTTACTATCATCCTATTTTCAAACCTAAAATACAGAAGCTCTGTATGGTTTACCAGCACTAACTAGGCTTCTATTCACAAATTCTTCCCAGGCTTATCTCAAGTTTGGGTCTGCCACTCCTCATCTTACAGGGCATTTGTTTTGCTAATGGGGTGCTCTTCCCACTGTGGGATCTGTCTTCCTTTTTCCAGAGGCCCTCTTTCACATTGTCCTGCTCAGCAGCTCTGTGACTTCTCCAACATCATGCTAGGATGCTCAACAGTGTTAGAACTCAAAGGGGAGGAGTGTGGGCCTTCCTAAAACTTTAGGGAAAAGGGCATGCATGGGGGCAAGGAAAACTTCTTAATGCCGTTAGTATGCAGTATCCTGAGGAAGACATGGTTGAATCTTGCAGCCTGTTCAATTGGGGTTGGTTCACAGCTACCAGGAAAGGCAAAAGCAGCACACAGTAGTGCTGTTCAAAACCGGTAGTTTCTGCAGTACAGACCATCTGAAATCCTGGGATGAATGTCTGCACGTTCTGGGGTGTTTCCAGATGGGAAAGGCTGCTACTCCCCTGCACCAGCCTCCTGGGCCTGCCATCATGTTTGGAGTGCCTAATAGCAGCCTTCTGTTACCTATAAGGAGGTTATCAAGAAGGCAGAATTGAGCTTCTCACAGTGGTGCATGGCAGGATGATGAGAGACGGCAAGGATAAATTGAAAAGACAGATTTTAACTGGATATAAGGAAACACTTCTTCCACATGAGGAGAATGGGCAGTGGAAGAGGTTGTCCAGAGAGGCTGGACAGTCCCCATCCTCCTTGGTTTTCAAGACCAGGGGGGACAAAACTCTGAATAATTTGGTCTGGCTCTTAGCTGACCCTCCTTTGAGCAGGAGGGTGGACTATAGACTTCTGGAGGTCTTTTCCAGCCTGAATTATGTTGTCTCTGAAAATGGAGCAGAGTTCTGTCATGTCTGTTGCATAGAACTGTTATCTGACCAATAAGCTGTGATTTCCTTCCCTTGTGTTGTATGGACAGCTACACACCAAGCAGTTGTGAAGGACAGCAGCCTATTCCTTCAACTGTGGAGCTGATTTCAGTGACTCATTTGGTCAAGATGCCTTCCAAATGTACTCTTTGTCATGGTTGAACCCGAGCCAGTAACTGAGCACCATGCAGCTGCTTGCTCATGCTCCCCCTCCCCGCAGGGGGCGGGGGAGAAGAATGGAAAAAAAACCAAACTCGTGGGTTGAGATACAGACAGTTTAATAGGATAACAAAGGAAGATGATCATGATGATATTATTATTATATTACTACTACTATTACTGTTACTATTGTTACTATTGTGACCATTGCTATTATTATTGTGATGCAGAAATGCAATTTCTCACCACCTGTGGAAAAAAAACCCTGATGCCCAGTCTGTTTCTGAGCAGCGATGCTGTCTCGTGGCTAGCTTCCCCAGTTATATGCAGAGCATGATGTTATATGGTGGGGAGTATCCCTTCGGCCAGACTGGGTCAGCTGTCCTGGCTGTGCTCTCTCAGCTTCTTGTGCACCTGGGAGGGCCTGAGAACCTGGAAAGTCCTGGATTTAGTGTAGGCACTACTACTACCTAGCAAAAACTAAAAACATCAATGTGTTATCAATATTATTCTCATACTAAATCCAAAACACAGCACTATACCAGCTACCGGAAAGAAAATTAATTCTATCCCAACTGAAACCAGGACACTCTTGAGACTGGAAGTGACGATCAGTGAGGAAATGGAA